ACCTATCCTCCTCAAACTATTTCAAAAAATTGAAGATGGAATGCTTCGTACCTCATTCTATGAGGCCAACTTACCCTGATACCAAAACAAGACAAGGACAAAACAAAGAAGGAAAATTACAGGCCAGTATTGCTGATGAACATAGATGCAAAAGTCCTCAATAAAATATTGGCAAACCAAATACAGCAATACATTAAAAGGATCAAATACCATGATCGTGTGGAATTTATACGAGGGGCACAGGGATGGTTCAAGTTTCACAAATCAATCAATGTGATACACCACATTAACAAAATGAGGAATAAAAATCACATGATCATCTTAGTAGATGCAGAGAAAGCATTTGACAAGATCCAACATCTATTTATGATAAAAAAAAAAAAACTCTCAATAAAATGGGTATAGAAGGAAAGTGCCTCAACATAATAAAGGCCATATATGACAAACCCACAGCCAACATCATACTCAATGGGGAAAAACTGAAAGCCATCCCTCTGAGAACAGGAACAAGACAAGGGTGTACTCTCTCACTGCTCCTATTCAACATAGTACTGGAGGTTTTGGCTAGAGCTGTTAGGCAAGAAAAAGAAGTAAAAGGGATCTAAATTTGAAAGGAAGAAGTGAAACTCTCGCTGTTTCTGGACAACATGATCTTATATATAAAGGTCTTATATATAAGACCCTAAAGAGTTCACCAGAAAACTATTAGAAATAATCAACAACTACAGCAAAGTTGCATGGTAGAAAATCAACTTACAAACATCAGTTGCATTTCTATACACTAATAACGAACTAGCAGAAAGAGAACTCAAGAATACAATCCCATTTATGATCACAACAAAAAGAATAAACTGTCTAGGAATAAATTTAACCAAGGAGGTGAAAGTCCTGTACACTGAAAACTGTAAGACATTATTGAAAGAAATCAAAGATGACATAAAGAAATGGTTAGACAGTCCATGTACATGGATTGGAAGAATAAACATAGTTAAAATGTCCATACTTCCTAAAGCAATCTACAGATTCAATGCAATCCCAATCAGAATCCCAATGACATTCTTACAGAAATAGAACAGAGAATCCTAAAATTATTTGGAAGAACAAAAGAGCCAGAATAGCTAAAGCAATCCTGAGAAAAAAGAACAAAGCTGGAGGCATCACAATCCCTGACTTCAAAATATACTACAAATCCATAGTAACCAAAACAGCATGGTACTGGCACAAAAACAGACACACAGATCAATGGAACAGGATTGAAAGCCCAGAAATAAAACCACACATCTGTGGACAGCTAATCTTTGACAAAGGAGCCAAGAACATACAATGGAGAAAGGAAAGTCTCTTCAATAAATGGTCTTGGGAAAACTGGACAGACACACGTAAAAGAATGAAAGTAGACCATTATCTTACACCATACACAAAAATGAACTCAAAATCGATTAAAGACTTGAATATAAGACCTGAAACCATAAAACTCCTAGAAGAAAACCTCGGCAGTACACTCTTTGAGGGTACCCTCTTTGACTGGTCTTAGCAGCATCTTTTCGAATACCGTGTCTACACGGGCATGGAAAACAGAAAATAAACAAATGGGACTACATGAGACTAAAAAGCTTCTGCTTCTGTTTCCTTTCAACCTGCAGGACTCCTTTTAGTATATCTTGCAAAGCAGATCTAGTGGTAACAAACTTCTTCATCTTTTGTTTATCTGGGAATGTTTCAAGTTCTCCCTCACTTTGTTTCCCCCAGTTTTATTGAGATGTAATTGATATATAACATTGTGTTAGTTTAAGGTGTACAACATAATGATTTGATATATGTATACATTGTGAAGTGATTACCACAATAAGTTTAGTTAACATCTTTTTCACTTGTTATAGTTAAAAAATGTTTTTCTTGTGATAAGGACTTTTAAGATTTACTCTTAGCAACTTTCAAATATACAATCCAGTATAGTTAACTATAGTCACCATGCTGAGCATTACATCCCCAGAACTTATTTATCTTATACCTGGAAGTTTGTACCTTTTAACCACTGTTATCCATTACCCTCACCCCCTACCCCCTGCCTCTGGGAACAAACCAGTCTCTTCTTTGTTTCTGTGAGTTTGGTATTTTTTAGATTGTGCATATAAGTGAGATCATACAGTATTTGTCTTTCTCTTTCTGACTTATTTCACTTAGCATAATGCTTTCAAGGTCCATCCATGTTGTCACAAATGGTAGGATTTCCTTCTTTGTTTCTCTCTCATTTTTGGAGGACATTTCTGCCAGATACAGGATTCTTGGTTGACATTTTTCACTTTGAAAACATCATCCCACTGCCTTCTGGCTTCCAATGTTTCTGGTGAGAAATGTGCTAATGATCTTGTTTTAGATCCCTTGTATGTGATGAGATGCTCCTTCTTACTGCTTTCAAGATTCTCACTTTGTCTTTCAAAAGTTTGGTTATAATGTGTCTGGGTGTGAACTTTTTATATTCATCCTACTTGGAGTCTGTTATGCTTCTCGGATGTTTATATTCATGTCTTTCATCAAACTTGGGAAGTTATTTCTTCAAATAATCACTCTTCCTCCTTCTCCTCTGGGACTTTCACAATGCCTATGTTATGCATTCAAACAATATATGTGTAATATATATATATATATATATATATATATACATATATTTTTTTTTTTTAAAGATTGGCACCTGAGCTAACATCTGTTGCCAATCTTCTTTTCTTTTTCTTCTTCTTCTCCCCAACGCCCCCCAGCATATAGTTGTATATTCTAGTTGTAGGACCTTCTTCTTCTGCTGTGTGGGACACCGCCTCAACATGGCTTGATGAGCAGTGCCATATCCGTGCCTGGGACCCAAACCAGTGAAACCCTGGGCCACTGAAGCAGAGTACATGAAACTCGAGCATGGGGCTGGCCTCCATAATGATATATTTAAATCCCTTTAAATCTCCTGGAAGTTGCTTCAGCTGGAGGGGGAGGGATTTGTAACATCTGTGTGTAGTTCCCAAGGTCAGTTTGAGATTTGTTCAGACTCTAGGGAGGCTCCTCTCAGCTTCTTGATTCTTTCCATAGAAGTAACCAGCCTACAGTTTAGCCTATATATCCAGTAAATCTACCAATCTCCTCCCAATTCCCTTTCACCACTACCTCCAGTTTTTGAGGGTGCCCTTAGGCTTGAATTTCTTCACATTCTGTTCCAAATGAAGTCAGTCCACTTAGGAAAAGATTTAGTGCTGTTTTATGTCTTTCTTCTCCCCTCAGGCCAAATCTCTGAGCACAGCTCTAGAGCTGGGAATGGGGACAATAGTATGCTTGTCTCTGAGTGATACCCCCACTTTAGAAGCTTAGTGGGTGTGAAAGGCAGTAGCCTCTCATCTTCTCAACATATTTCACCCAGCATGGAATCTTCACTTTATGGTTTGGGGAAAAGGTGATTGGGGCCCCAGTATTTTCAGTGGCCCTGCACCCAAGGTAGAGCCTCCATCCTACGAGCCCAAGCTGACTGTAAGAAGGAAGCTCCTACCTCTTGGTTACACACTCCTAAAATTTATTGTGTTTTAAGTTTAAGTTTTTAAAACACAAGAAGTATTAGGGGCAGCATGAGATATGTTGATGTCCCACCCCTCCAGGAAGACAGCCTTCTGACTAGGGAGCCAGGGGGAAAGGGAATCCTGTGTTCTTGACTTCAGCAGTCTAGTATATAGAGTTTTTGTCTCTCTGAGCTGGGAGTGGGGAGGAAAGTAGTTGGTCTTGGTTCAATTACCACCAAGTTTTTAAGTTTTAGAAGGTTTTCTTGATTTTAGATTTTAGATTTAGATTTTAGATTTAGACTTTCTTGAAGCAGATTTTAGAACCCTGTTCTAAGTTTTAGTAGATTTTCTTGAAAAAAAAAAAGTGCCTTCATTTGCTGTTTGACCTTAGGACAATTTCTAGAAACTTTTAAATGGTTGACTTTTTAAATAGTTTTCACAGGTTTCACTGAGGAAGGGTCTGCAGAACTCACCATGTCATACTGGATGTGGAACCAACTAGGATTACATTTTATATTTAGTTTTTATGTCCCCTTTAATCTGGGACAGTTACTCAGTCTTTGTTTTTCATGACGTTGATTTTTTTTTTTTTTTTAAAGATTTTATTTTTTCCTTTTTCTCCCCAAAGCCCCCCGGTACATAGTTGTGTATTCTTCGTTGTGGATTCTTCTAGTTGTGGCATGTGGGATGCTGCCTCAGTGTGGTCTGATGAGCAGTGCCATGTCCGTGCCCAGGATTCGAACTAACGAAACACTGGGCCGCCTGCAGCGGAGCGCGCGAACTTAACCACTCGGCCACGGGGCCAGCCCCATGACCTTGATATTTTTGAAGAGTATAGGCCACATGTTTTATAAAATCCCCCTTGGTTTGGATCTGTCTGATGTTTCCTCATGAATCGATCTGGATTATGCATTTTTGGCAGGAATACCACAGAAGTGATGTTGTGTCCTTCTCAGTGCATTGTATCAGGTGTAGGACATCTGCTTAATATATTATTAGGTGTTATTTTAGTTTCAGGCATTTCTTTCAACAGACAGACATAGAGTGTCACATAGTATATTTTCTTGATTACTAGTCAGGTTGAATTTTATGTATGTTAATTGGTTATTTGTATTATTTTGTAAATGTCTTTGCTGATTTATCTATGGGACTGACTGTTGTTTTATCAATTCTAATATTCCAATATTGTTGTGTTTTATTGATTCTAAGAGCTCTTTATAGTTCACTGATATTAATTCTTTGGCATGTATATTATAAATATTTTCCCTAGTTTATTGTTTGCTTTTAATTTCTTATGACTTTACTTATTGATATCTTGAGGTTTTAAATTTTTGTGTAAACAGAACTATCACTATTTTCCCATATGGTTTTCACCTTTGGTATCATGCTTAGAAAAGTCCTTCTTCTAAGGTTACAGAAATATTTTTTCTACTACATAGTGATTTTCTTTTTATATTTCCCAAATAGGTACATTTGCGGGAGCACATGGGTGAAAAGTATACGACTTACAGTGTGAAAGCTCGCCAGTTGAAATTTTTTGAAGAAAATGTGAATTTTTGAGAATTTATTCTAGTCTACTGCCAGAACTAAAGACCTATTTTCAAAGGTTTTTGGCTTAAACAAAAACAAACCCATAACAATGGCTGGAGGCCATTCACCATCCTTACGTCTCTTTGGGGTATTTTTACTGGAAAAAAATTGGACAGAACAGCATAATATGAAACAAGCTCACAAAAGAAAGGAAAAAACCTTTGGCTATTTTACTCACTTTATGAGGAAAACTCTGTTATGTTTATTTGGTTACTGTTTACTGAGCCTTTAACCACCAACTTTATATCTAGAACTTTATTTTTTTAAGGTACTAATTAGTTTGAATACAGGGCCATAAAATGTCAGATGAGAAGTTTTATATTGTACTGTAGTGATAAAAGCAATAGGAAAAATAAATGACATATGTCTAGTGATACTACTTGTTACTGTTAATAATCTTAGTAGTTGATAAATTACTTTTTAAAAAGGTCAGTTCGCTATTCTGGGAGATTGAAAAAATATGAAGTTGTATCTAGTACTTGAGCAAATGAATTCCTTTTTTACTTATTGCTGAACATTTCATATTTTATTTTCATTTAATATGAACCTCATTTAGGATATACCAGAATTGAAACTAAGAGGTATCTTGGCTTTGTAAATCAGTATGTTTTTACATACTGGTTTTTTTAGATTTACTCTTCCATCAGTAAAAACATTTTTTTCTTTTTCTTTTTTGGTGAGGAAGATTTTCCCTGAGCTAACATCTGTGCTTCCTCTGTTTTTTGTATGTGGGATGCTGACACAGCATGGCCCAATGAGCAGTGCAGGTCAGTGCCTGGGATCCGAACCTGTGAGCCCCAGGCTGCCAAAGTGGAGTATGTGAACGCAACCACTATGCCACTGGGCTGGCCCCTTGTAAGAATATTTCTTAAACACTAATTCCTTTTCCAATTAAGCACTTTGTAAGTAAAGTCCAGATCTTTTCAGTTATGTTGGACATGTTTGTCTCCTGAAGTTTGTTTTCATCAAGATATTGGTTGTCTTCCTGTGTTTTAAACATACGATTATATATCACAAATTTTATTAGTTTTTTAATAAGGGGTAATGCCCATCTAGGAAATAGTTTTTATAAAATAAAAGTCTTGACTAGTAAATTTTTACTTCTGTAATCAAGGGACTCTAAAAAATAAATACTGCTCCAGAAATGTTTTCAGTTTTTATAATTAAAAATGTATCTTACCTTCTTTGAAAATTACACACACATATAAAATACTCTAATGAAATGTTCCTAGTCACTTAACAGACCTTTATTTAGTTTTTACTATGTGCCAGGTGCTGTGCCAGGAGCTGGGGATACAGTGGCGAATAAGCACCACTCCCTGCCATGACAGTGCTCATAGTCTGGTTTCTGAGACCTCTTATTTTTACTCTGAAGAGTTTGTCAGAACTCAACTGTAAAACCATCTAGTCCCAGTGCCTAGTAGGGGGCAAATCCTTGGTAAACTGTTGGTCTTCCTGAGCTAGTCACCATTTCTTGCATTAAGAAATCCACATCTTTCCGGCAAGTCATTGATTTTACATAAGTTTTCTAACTTATTGGTATAAAGTTGTACATATTACTTTCTTAGAGTTAAAAAATCTCCCCCCATACTTTTTTATTCCCATTCTGTATATTTCTATTTTGTTTAAACATTCACTCAGTTTTCATTTATCCCACTATTTTTTTGGTTATTTTGTGGTTCTTTTTTCTCAAGAGTGTAATCATTTTTCATCTTTCTTAATTATAAAACATATCTTTAAGACTATGAATTTTCCTCTCAACATAGTTTTGGCCACATTTCAGGGACTTTGATATTCCTTTTTTTTTCTGCTGAGGAAAATTTGCCCTGAGCTAACATCTGTGCCAATCTTCCTCTATTTTGTATGTGAGTCACTGCCACAGCTTGGCCGCCGAGTGGTATAGGTCTGCACCCAGGAACAGAACTGGAACTGCCAAAGCAGAGTGTGCTGAACTTAACCACCAGGTCACAGGCCCAGCCCCTGATATGATATTCTTTTTGACATTAGCCTCTAAATAGTCAATAATTCTGGTCTTGACTTTCTGTTTTAGAAGTGTTTATTTCTATATATTTAGAAAGCCAAGGAAATTCTATCTCCTTGCTCCAGCTACATTGCAGTGTTGTTAATATGACCTGTACAACCTCTGTTTCTTGGAATTGTTTTTCCCCGTGGCTCAGTACATGATCCATTATTGGAATGGCCCTATTCAATAAAGGTTAATTCTGTTACACGCAGGCAGAATCACTTTATTTTTTTTAAAGATTTTTTTATTTTTCCTTTTTCTCCCCAAAGCCCCCTGGTACATAGTTGTATATTTTTAGTTGTGGGTCCTTCTAGTTGTGGCATGTGGGATGCTGCCTCAGCATGGCGTGATGAGCAGTGCCATGTCCGTGCCCAGGATCCAAACTGGTGAAACCATGGGCCGCCAAAGCGGAGCACGCGAACTTAACCACTTGGCCATGGGGCTGGCCCCAGCAGAATCACTTTATTAATTATTCCAACCTACATAAGACCTGATCAGTAGAATTTTGTGATGATGGAAATGTTCTCTATCTGCACTAATACAGTAGCCAGTAGCTATATATGGCTGTTGATCTCTTGAGATGTGGCTAGTTTGAGAAACTTTTAGTTTAGTTTTAATTAAATTTAAATAGACACATGTGACTAGTGCCACCATCTTGGACAGTGCAGCTCTGTATCTTCATTTAGTAAATATTGAGCACCTATAATGTGTCATGTACTCTTGTAGGCACTGGGCAAATAGCAGTGAGCAAAACAAGGTCCTGTTCCCATGGAGCTTATGTTTGAAGGAGGACAATTAACAAATATATACTGATATATATTAAATTCCATGAAAAATAAAGCAGGATAAGTGGATATAGAACGATGGGGCATACCAGTTTGATAGGGTAGGAGGAAATGCTTCTTTATGGTGATATCTGGGTAGCGACCTGAATGAAAGGAGAGACAAGTCATGTATATTTGAGGGAAGACGTTCCAGGTACAGGGAGGGAACAAGTGCAGAAGTCTTCCTGTGACTTGCCTGTCCACTTATCTATCAAAATCTGAAAGGTAAGAGAGTTGGTCTCCTACCAAAAGTGTAGCTTTGCCAAACTCTTGTATATGTAGCAGTCTTTGCTTTATACATTTCACATCTTATTCAAGGCATGATTCCTAACAGTGACATCTTGGCAGCTATGAAATGTCCTTCTCTGCCGCATTTAATGCTTTCTCATACTAAGTATCTTTTTCACTATTACTCCTCTTTTATGCTTGTATCTGCCTAATATATCCTTGCTCCTGTTTTCAGCCTTTGGGTGTCATTTTGAGAATATGAGGTAACTTGATTTTTATCCTATTTGGGAGCTCCTAACTTTTTAATCACATGTATTATACTTACTGATATGGTTGGCCTTATTTCTGCCTTCCTAATTTTTCTTCTGTCCTTTTTTTTTAAACCTTTCCTGATTTTCATTGTATTAAGGTCTTTGCTCCTTTTTTAAAACTCATAGTTTGGAAGTCCTCTATGCTGGTATTGAGCAATACAATATTACTTATAATAACTCTCCCATTCCCATCCCTCAAATAAGACCTTTAGAACATTTTTCTCTTTAGCCCTCTGGAAAATTTAAAAGGAATTTACAGCTCTATGGGTTTTCAGTTTGGTCCATCTCAGGTAAAGCATGGATTAAATGTTTTCTGCTTAACAGCCTTATTTTAGTGGTACCAAATTATTACTTTACCACAAATTTACATGAGTAAATTTTTTCATAGGTGCTTACACTGTTATTAAGAAAAATGTATATTAGGAACTTGCAGCTACAGAAAACAGAAATGGTCCTTACTGATACTTTCAGAACCATGAACTTCTCACTTTGGTTTTTACTAACAGTCTTGCTTGCAGAACAATGAACAAAAGACTCTTTAGACATAAGACTTGCACTGTGAGTTTTAATTGAAAACATTAAAACAGCTTAACTACTAATAATGAATTATAAAACTTTGATAGTTAGATTGTACTATCATTTATTCATTATTGTTGTAGACCTGAAAGAAACTTTGCATACTTGTGTTTTCTGTTCTCCATTTCAGAGGAAGATTATGAAGAGAAGGTCTAAAACATTTATAAATCAAAACCCAACTGAGTTAGAAGTGAAATATAAAGAGAACAAAATCTTAAGACAGCTGTGCTGTAAGAGCATAGATGGGTTTTAGCCCATGTTTTGGGTTTGAAATTTAGCTCATCTCATATGAAACAAAAGCAGGTGCAATAGTAAAGCCAAATCATGAAAGCCCAATCAATTATTTTTAGCATGCCTCTTAATTTTTCTTTCCCCTGGTTTCTTGTCTTCTGTGCCTGAGTCTTGAACAGGTAACCACTTGAGGGGGTGCCGGCGATAAATGGGCCATGGAGGAAGTGTCAGCTGGGCCAGAACAGAGAAAATGCGACAATTATAGCCATTAAAAGTTTAAAAGAGCATTATGTATAATGCCTGGTTCCCAAATGACTCCTATGCTAAAGGTAAAAATAACACAAAACCTGACATTCCTATGAAAACTGTGCCACTGCCCAGACAAGAGATGGGAACAAGTCTCCGTGTTTACACATATGGCTTTAAAAACTAAAAGAAGGATGAAGAGCAACGTAAAGACCCTAAGAAATTCCTGCTACCTTTGACCTTAAGATTATTGCTTGGAGCAGCTGCCAAAAGAAATGAGCTGTATCCTTTTATGCAGTTTTAAGTCATCTGACACTATTTGGCATTCTACTTATCCAATGATAGCAAGGGGAAACACTGATGGGAAAGATGAGGGAAAAGTTGGTGCCAGTTCTCACTACTAGGTCCAACCAAATCAACCCAATTCAGAAAACTTAAGTAGCCACTAACATCCAAACATCCACAAATTTCTTACCAAACACGAAAAAGCAAATCCGGCCATAACTATATAGACAGTCCACCCGAACTGTTCAGCCACGTACCCATAGATAAATCCAACTATCTAGAGACAAACAAAATATATTAAATACAGTCAAGCCGGAGGCGGGGAGTGGGGGTAGGGAGCGAAGAGAAGAAAGAAAAAGATTATGCAAAACCAATACTTACTGCAGAAAAAAGAATAATTCCTTGAAACATCTGTTCAGCTAGTTTCTGGCCCTTGTAATCCTAGAGGTGAAAGAGAGCAAAGGAGGAATTGGTGCCGCCACCGAAGAGGTACGATTCCTGCTCTGGCCTCACAGCTTTGGCACAGGGCAACCCCAACATCAGGGGCTCTCCTCAAGGACCTGGGTAAGGAATGAAGTTCTGGGTTTCCCGGGGGAAGTGAAGCATCCCAACGGAGCACGGGCAGGGGCATCCTCGCGGGGGAAGAGAAAAGAGGACCCAGGAGGCACCATTCCGGGAAGGGAGTGTAAGGTAGCCATCCAGGCCAGGAACCGCGCAGCACCGGCTGGGTGCTCGGACAAGGGGTGCGAAGCTGCCAAGCTCGCGAGCGGCTCGCGAGGATCTTGGGGCCGAGGTGGGCCGCGCCCTCACCATCTGCGTGGGCAGCGAGCTCAGGTGCTCCAGCATGACTGGCTGAGGAGGCGGGCGACAGACTGCAGGCGGCGGGCGGCGGAGCGAGGGTGGCCGCGACTCGAGGACGGTAAGGGCTGGAGTCTGGTCCTGTGCACAGCCTCGCGCGCCTGCCGAGCCGAGGAGCGCGATGGCCGCGGCCCCGGAAGCGGATGTCTGTGACATACCCGGACGGCCCGCGGCCCCGCCCCGCGCGTTCGCTAGGCGACCTGCGCTTTCGGGGCTGTTTGTGGCCCGGCGCGCGGCCCGCGAGGGCTGAGGTGGCGACCGTGGCGGCCGAGCCGAGGCATCGCGCGCCCGTGAAGGGCTCGCCGTTAGTGCTGTTGGGTGCCGGAAGTCGCGGCCTGGCTCCCCAAAACAGTCCTCGACTGCGCCCCGGCGACCTAACGGCTGCCGGCGCGCGTCCCGTCTCCATGGCGACGGGCTTTCCTCGGCGAGGACCCCGGCGGCGGGGCTGCCCGGCGGCGCCTGCTCGGCGCGATGCTTTCGCAGTCAGAGCGGTGGGCGGGCTGGGGCTTGCGGGGCTGCGTGGCTGCAGCGGAGCCGGCGGGCAGGCGGGCTTGGTCCGGAGTGCAGGGGACGCGGGCGGCCCGGCGGCGGGCTGGGCCCCGGGGCCTGCGGCGCGGGCGCTGAGCTGGCGGGGCGGGCCGGGGCGCGGGCGGCGGCGGCGGCGGCTGTGGTAGCTCCTCCTCCTCCGGCTGCAGGTAAGGGCGGCCGCGGGGAGCGTCCAAGGGGAACGGCTTGCTCACCTCCTAACTCGGGGCTCTCTGGGCCTCAGGGGAACCCCCGGAGTGTCACACACCCCCTTGCTCATCCCTAAGCGTAAGAGGGCCCTAGTGATCCCCCGAATTTAGAGGAGACTACCCCAGGCCACATCCTCGAGAAAAAGGGAATCCCCTCGGAGAGGGGACCCCCTTCTCGACAGACCCTCGCAGCAGTGTGGAGAGGGTTAGCACCCCGGGAGTCTCCAAGTTGGCCCACCAACATGCTCGCCGGCTTCACTGGGCCCTCCTGATTGAGACCAGCCAAGGGTTCGCTCTCTCTCTCAAGGCTGGTGTCTATCTCAAAAGCTTAGGCCCTCCCCGGTTGCTCTGAGCGAGGTGGGTTGCCCACATTTCGGAGAGAAACCGTTCTGGGGTACGGGGCCTGTGGGTTCCTGCAGGCTCTCTGGCCTCTATGCTATGTTGCATGTCAGGGTCACAGACGTTGGGATTCCAGGCACTCTCAGGGCAGGTTGGTGTGTGGCTGCCGCCCTCATTCATGCAATCAGCAAACATTCACAGCACCTTTTTTTGTGCCGCTGTGACCAACACCAGGCCCTTGCCTTTCTAGAGCCCAGAGTGTGTCAAGGGAGACTGCCACATAACCCCAGAAATATATGACAGCTGGATTAATTCTAGGATAGGGAGCCCCCGGGGGATGTGGGAACCCGGGGTGGGGTGGGGGAGTGCGGCTGAATGTAGGGTTTTGGGGAGGCTCCCTTGACTCCTGAAAGCCAAGTAGGAGCTAGCCAGATGAAGAGGTAGGAGAAAGTGAATGTCTTTAGTGCCTTCAGCCTGGCAGAAACTAAACAGACCTCTTGTATCTAGAAATAGACATGTCCCTCTGTGTTATCCTCTTTAAATGCACTTCACAGGGTAGCAGTTGCTGTATAGACTTTTAGGTATTTGAGCTATGACGATATGATGGGAAAAGGAAGTTTTCAGGTTCCATTTGAGAGAGATCTCCATCGGAATCCATGTCTTTCCTTGTGTTGGAAGTTGTTTTCATGATTATCATCAAAGATTGCTTTCTCAGGCCGGCCGGTGGCACAGCAGTTAAGTGTGCACGTTCTGCTTCAGCGGCCTGGGGTTCAGCGGCATGGGGTTTACCAGTTCACGTCACAGGTGTGGACCTCCGCACTGGTCATCAAGCCATGCTGTAGCACGTGTCCCACATATAAAATAGAGGAAGATGGGCAGGGATGTTAGCTCAGGGCCAGTCTTCCTCAGCAAAAAGAGGAGGATTGGCAGCAGATGTTACCTCAGGGCTAATCTTCCTCAAAAAAAAAAAAAGATGGCTTTCCCTTTCTGAGCTGAGAATCAGCCTTGCTCCTAGATTAACAAGATCATTTCACAAATATCGTGCCTACTACCGTTTGCCAGACACGGTTTTAGTTGGCGGGGATGCATTGCTAAACATTTTCATTGGGGTCTCTTGGAGCTTACATTGTAGTCAGGAAAGACAAAGAAACAAATGAGATAACTTCATAATTGAGGAGGGGGAGTGGTGAACTTCCCTGATGGCCTCTGAAGGGATGGGTGAGAGGAAGATAGAACGATAACTTTGGTCTTTGGTGACCTCGACAAGACCAGTTTGAATGGAGCAGTAGGGACAGAAGTCTGGTTGGAGGAGGCTGAAGAGAGAACAAGAGGAGAAGTGGAGCTAGAGACTTTAAATCTTCTCAAGCTTTTAGAGTGAGGGGGAGCAGAGAAATGGGTTTGTGGGTCAGCTGGAGCGTGGGGAGTGATGTCTTCTTTTTAAATTAAAATTTTTAAATTTTTTTAAATTAAATTTTTAAAAAATTAACTTTAAGTTTTTTAAATTAATTTTTAAAATTAAAACCAGACTGGGGCCGGCCCGGTGTCGCAGCAGTTAAGTTCACACCTTCTGCTTCTCGGTGGCGTGGGGTTCGCCAGTTCGGATCCCGGGTGCAGACATGGCACCGCTTGGCAAAAAAGCCACGGTGTGGTAGGCGTCCCACATATAAAGTAGAGGAATGGGCATGGATGTTAGTTCGGGGCCAGTCTTTCTCAGCAAAAAGAGGAGGATTGGCAGTAGTTAGCTCAGGGCTAATCTTCCTCAAAAAAAAAAAAAAAACAAACAAACCCAGAGCATGATAATATCCTGATGGCTGTAATCCAGCAGAGAGGGAAAGAGTGTGCTGATGCTGCACCAAGGAAACAATTACAGGTAGGTTGCAGAGCATCAGTGGAATGGCCTTTCATGTACATAGAAATAGGAGGGAAAGCAGAAAAGGTGAGCAAAGCTGCTGAGAATGTGGGTACTAATGCAAGCGCAAGTTAAAAAAAATAGTCGTCTTTCTCCCTAAGGTTTCTTCACCCATATCTCTGGGTTTGCCTGCCCTGGGGGGTGTGTGTGTGTTTTGTGAGTGATTTGGGCATGAAAGTTTTAAAATTTCTAAACAAGAAATATTAATTTTCATAGTGACCAATTGAATATTGCTGATCAAATTGTACACAGTTGTGTGGTCTATCAAAAAATACAGCCACTGTTGCCCATCCCAGGGTCTACACGCAGGTTTGTTTTGAGAATTTCTTCTAATCAGATTAATGAATTCCATTACCAGGGAAGCACCAGGAAAGGAAATATGAATCAGACATACTCCATAATAATTGGCATTTTGCATATAGATAACTGTGGAAGAGTTTTTGGAGCAAGTGGTTTCTGCCGTGCTAATCTACTTACATACATCAAATACCTGATAGGATTGTGTTTTTCTTGTGTCTAGCTAACTGGAATAGCACAAATATATGTGCTTCTCAATCCACATACTACCTGTAAGTAACTTATGGAAGTTGTTGAGCTAAAACACTGTCTTTTGTACTGTTAACTAAATGAGATTTCTTTGAGGGAGATCGTTTTCTCCAGTCTTGGTGGAAGTTGGCTAAAGCTGGCAGATGTTAGAGCTTTGAGCAGCTCCCAGTCTGCCAGCTTCTATGGGTAAGGCTCAGCCCACAATGTGATAGAGGCACATGGCTCAGGGTATATAATGATGTGTATTCTTTAAAAAGGAAGATCATTGGTATAATGTACTTTATATATACTGCTCTAGAAAGAAATGAGAGAGAGAGTGTGTGTGTGTTTTAGATTGTCTTTTGGGAATTTGAATTATTTTCTCGGAAATTTGTAATCTGGTCTGTGATCTCCAGTTTTTTAAACAGCCCTTCAATTATTTCTCCTTTTTTCAATGGCCTTGAGAAACCAAATGTCTGATATGCACACACTTTAGTTAAGGTGAAATTAATTCAAACTTACTTTGATTTTAAAAGTACGGTGTATTTGAAAGTGCTTTGTAAAGTTAAAAGCCTTATGTAAATGTCAGGTTCCCCCCTGGGAGAAGGTGAAGTAGAAGAGGGTAGAGGTCTCAAATGTAGGATCACTATAGCCTGGTTGTATAAAATCTATTCTTAAGGAAACATTACCCAGAGATTGTTGTAGAAATCTAACCGTTTAATTTAGTTCCACCTACAGTCTTGTTTCCATTGAATTATTTGTTTTTAAAAAGTGAAGGCATCAGATGAGCTGGGGGGCACAAGCCACAAGCAGAGTGACAATATTAGGCACTGCTTTTTTTTTTTCTTTTGAGGAAGATTAGCCCTGAGCTAACGTCTGCCAATCCTCCTCTTTTTTGCTGAGGAAGACTGGCCCTGAGCTAACATCCATGCCCATCTTCCTCTACTTTATATGTGGGATGCCTGCCACAGCATGGCTTGCCAAGCAGTGCCATGTCCGCACCCGGGATCTGAACCGGTGAATCCCAGGCCACCAAAGCGGAACTTGTGGACTTAACCGCTGCACCACCGGGCCGACCCCATAGGCATCCCTTTCTTAAGACATGGGAGTTAACCAACAGAGATGAAGCCCTGGGAAGAAGCTCATTTTTTCTTTTAGCAGATTTTTAATTTTTGAAAATACACTAAACTTGTGATAGCAAGATTGGATTTTGTGAATTTTTAAGATTGTTTCTCTGCTACAGTTTCAAATGAATTTGGAAAATCTTTTTTTCTTATAATTCCAATTAAAGGTGAATGGGCTATAGCTTGAAACAGGGATGTTTTGTACTGATGAGGCTGACCTCAGGTTACTTGATCACAGACAACTGAGTCCATGTCTCATTTAACTAGGAATTTTAAGTGGAAATTCATTCAGAAAATGTTTCCATAGTGGTTAGACCTCAAGTATTCCTCTTGGTAGAATTTCTTTTGCTTTTCATCTAGCAGCATATAATGTAGGCTGTTTCTCCAAGTTATTTGGAAGTAGTTTATCATCATGACTACCATAAAAAACTCAGATCCCAAATTGGGTTCTTGGAAACTATTAATTCAAAATGGAAACTATTAATTCAAAGCTATTCAAATTTTCTGGCAGAAAATACCATATGCACTTCTTGTTTCTCCCTGAATTTAGGCATTTTAATGGCCATTCTCATGTACCTGCTGACTTTGGGGGCTTGTTTTTGTTTTGTAGGGTTAATAACTAAAATTTATGTAAGACAGAAGAGAAAGATGTCATTCCGTAAAGGTATGCTCTTTCTACAAGTTATGTTGTTTTTATACCTAGTCAAAAGGTCTAGAGATGTAATGCAGGCTTTCCCCTCTGTGTTTCAGTAAACATCATCATCCTGGTCCTGGCCGTTGCTCTCTTCTTACTGGTTTTGCACCATAACTTCCTTGGCCTGAGCAGTTTGCTAAAGAACGAGGTTTCAGGTATGGGAACCCTTACTAATGCCTTGGCATCTGTTGAGGACCTGGAGTTCCCTGTGTCCCACATTCTAAGTTACATCACTAGGTTAAAGGAAAAGAAAGCTTTCTTCTGGGCCTTACAAAAGCTACTAAACACTCTGGGAGAGGCGTGGTGGTACTCACTGTGCTCTTGCAACCCCTGCCCCCCATTCTCCCTGCTGTGCACTTGTTTGCTAAGGGTTTGATCTGACAGAAGAACTCTTTTCACCAAATCAGAGGCCGTAGAGGAGCCTCCTTGGGCTGCTGTCTGCTCACATTTCAGCTGGGCAGGGCTTCAGAAGGTGGGGACAGGTGAGTGTCTCTGGTGTTTGATGTCTGCTCTTTTCACTAAAGTGTCAGTCTGGTTACTTCGCCTGTTACTTTCCTTTAACCTGTGGAACTCTATCAGCAGGACTCTAGTAGAAAAACAAAACCATACAGCCTTGTCAACTGATTTTAAAAATCACTTTATTGTGTAATTCCATTGCCATTTCTTTTAAATTAGTTGTTCATACCACTCTGCCTTGGTATTGAGGGATGTTTGAGGCTGCAGAGTGTTTGTCAAAAATCATTTTTGGGTTGCCACCCACCATAACTGATAGCTTTCCCCGAGTGCTCTGATAGCATATTTTATAGCAGTGTTTATATACATGTGTGTGTATTTATATGTATATATAGATATGTACGTAAAGTTATGCATGCTCCTGGTGGGCACATTCATAAAAAAGAAAGTAGCATTCAAGCTCCAGGAGGGCAGTTGGTCCACTGCTTTATCTCCTGTGCCTGTGGATGATGGCTGGTACATAGGAGGTGCTCAGTAAATATTCACAATGAATTATTTCATTGCCTAAAGATAACTATTATTAACATTTTGGCTTAGTATCTTCCAGTTTTTTTTCTCTACGTATATATTTTTTTCCATACAGTTAAGGTTATACTATATATAAACTGCACATGACATGTTTTTCCACATGATTATATCCTAAGCATGTCACCATGACAGTAGAAACTCTTCACATATAGTTTCAATGCCACAGTTTGTTTCCACAAGAAAAAGTCTCTTGGTACAGTGACTTTCAGATGCTTTTGATGGCAATCTCACAGTAAGAAATGAGTTATATACAGCATACACATATACATGTGTATTTGCTTATTTTCTACCTACCTATCTTTCAAGATGGCAGAGATTCATCTGTCTTATTCATGGTAGTAACCCAAGTGCCTAGATATTGCCTGGCATAGTATGCACTCAGCGTTCAATGAATGATAAATGAGTAAATGAGTAATATAAAAGGCAAAAAGGAAAGTTTACAAAACAGTACTTGCAGTTGCTGTGTGTGATGCACTCTCATATTTTCTAATGTTCTGTTCCAATTTAGGAACTGATCGTGACCCACTAAATTGATTTCATGCCTACTTATGGGATATGATTCATAGTTTGAAAAACAACTTTTCAGTTTATTTCTTGGTTTTCACAATTATAAATAAAATTGTGACTTCTGATTACCTCTCAGATTTTATCCTTAAGAGAGGCAAGAGGAATTATTGGGTCAAAGTCCGTGTACCTTAAAGCTCTTGATACAAATTGCCAAAATGTATTATATAAAGATTTTGTTATATTCCCACCAGTAGTGTATCAGAATTCTGGCAACCTAGTTTTTTAAAGTGCTTCTGCTTTTCCAAAAGCCTGGTTACATATAGCAAAACAATAAAGGTCACGTGATTTGTAGGCTGTATGCTTCACATTGTAATGGGGGAGAATGAGGTAAACAACTATCGTAATCCTCATCTTACCTCTTTCTTAGGCTCTGCATCAAAAGCTCATGAGATTGTATTTGTATCACAGCACCTTCCTTGTGTTCTTTGCAGATTCAGGAATTGTGGGGCTTCAGCCCATAGACTTTGTCCCAAATATTCCCCGACATGTGGTAGACGGGAGACAAGAGGAGATTCCAGTGGTCATTGCTGCATCTGAAGATAGGCTCGGGGGGGCCATTGCAGCCATAAACAGCATTCAGCACAACACTCGCTCCAGTGTGATTTTCTACATTGTTACACTCAACGGTACAGCAGACCATCTCCGGTGAGCTCTGCTTGCCTAATGATTCTGCTTCTAGAGGATGCTCTAGAGCAGGCAATTTGCCAATCCAGGAATGGTTTTTTCTGTGTATATATTTTTTCTATTCAGTTGAGATTATACCACATATGAACTGCACATGACATGTTTTTCCTTGTGACTGTATAAGCATGTCCCCATGATAGCAGAAAGGACACAACTTGTGCCAAGATGTAAATCAACTCTCACTCTGCACGCTGTTAACTCACGCTATTTTTTAGTAATAAGACTTTCTCATTGAAGGAAACAATATGTTGATTTACATCCTGTTACAAGTCCCTTCTCTTATGGACATACCTGAGTAGTTCTGGTCTAGAGTGGGAAGGGACATGGGAGCAATGGCAAGGTAGTGTGACGTGAATACAGAACTGATCCAGATCCTGGCCCAGAGTGATTGGGGAACATTACTTAACCCCTTGGAGTCTGCTTCTTCTTCTGTAAGTATGGGGTAAAAATATCCAGCTTACTGAGAGAGACGAACTGTGTATGACTCCACTCATAGGTGGTAGTTAACACAAAGACAAAGAAAACTGATCGGTGGTTACCAAGGGAAAGGGGGGGGTGGGGGGAGGGCACTAGGGGTGAAGTGGTGTACCTACAACATGACTAATAATGATGGATAACTAATTTCACAAGGTTGTTAACTATCATAATCTTAAAAAAAATATCCAGCTTAGAGTATTGTGCCGTCAAATAAATGAGAAAATATATTAAAAGCACAAAGCATATAATAACCACTCAGTAAACAGTCCTTACTATTATATAACTGTAGTGATTAATAACAGAAACCCAATCTGGTGGAGAGTGTCATCCATGTTTTCAAAATGCTTTGAATTCATATTTACAAAGTTTATTCAAAGAAACATCTTGATAGTTGCCAAAGTTCTAAAACATTTCTGTCCTTGTGGCTTTTTCCACAGTTTGTGTTTAGTTTGTGAAAGTTGCCATGAATTATTTTTCCATATTTTAAAAACTCAGAAATCATCCAAAATAATGCAGAAACAAATATTGCATTACAACAGACTACAGAAATAACATTGTGCCCATGAAATCCTGATTTGAAATGGACAAGGAGGCTGGCCTTGTGGGCATGTTAAGTTCACATGCTCCCCTTCAGCAGCCCAGCGTTTTACTCGGTTTGGATCCTGGGCAGGACATGGCACTGCTCATCAGGCCACGCTGAGGCAGCGTCTCACATGCCGCAACTAAAATATACAACTATGTATTGGGGGGATTTGGGGAGACAAAGCAGGGAAAAAAAAAGATTGGCAACAGTTGTTAGCTGAGGTGCCAATCTTTAAAAAAAAAAAAAAAAAAAACCAAGAAATGGACCAAGGGAAAATGTGCAGTTCCTTTAGGGAACAATGACTTTTCTTGCAGGCAGCACCTTACACTCTGTTGGAGGAATTTGTTCCCACACTGTTGAGTCTGTAACAGACTGATCACCAGCCTTGTTGACAATTAGCTTTCACTATCACACTGACTCATTTTCTTCACTCATGTTATTTGGAGAGCCAAGTGTTGAATGGTCCATGTGGTGAGATGTTCTCATTTCCAGTGGGTTTTTCTACAGCAGTTTTAGTGTCAGAAGAGTGATCTTGTGTGAGCCTGATGGGAGCACTATCCATTACCATAGAATCCTGGTTCAAGGTGGGACTTGGGTGTCAATATGCTCACTTCAGATGAGGAAACCAAGGCTCAGAGAAGTAAGGGGCTTGAAGACACCTGTTTGGTTCTTAGGGTTCTCTTCCATTATGCCTTCATTAGAAGGCACAAAGGTAAGGCTCTGGTTTTGAAACATGATTATTTAAAACAAATTTGGTGCTTTATTTTTATCAGGTCCTGGCTCAGCAGCAGTACCCTGAAAAGCATCAGGTACAAAATTGTGAATTTTGACACTAAACTTTTGGAAGGGAAAGTAAAGGAGGATCCTGACCAGGGGGAATCCATAAAACCAGTGAGTTTCACGCACTCTTGTTTGTACTTGGGAGTTTTAGGACATTACTGTAATACCTGGGTAACTGTGGTACAGTGCCAAGTAGTTCCCTGGGGACCATGCCTGGGCAGTTTTAAGAGACCTTCAGCTGTCTTCTCCTGCATGGGTATTGAGCATTCTGGGAGTTTCTAGTAAATGAAAGCAGAGCCACTCACGAATTCTGTGCCCATGCCTCTTTCCTTTTCCTTTCCCAGTTAACCTTTGCAAGGTTCTACCTGCCAATTCTGGTTCCCAGTGCAAAGAAGGCCATATATATGGATGATGATGTAATTGTGCAAGGTACCAAAGAATGTCACTATCAGTATTATTCTGGGTGCAGAGTGTGGGCTATAGTGGTTGTCTTATTCATGGTATTCTATAAAAGGTCATCCTAAGAAGTGGGAGGAATAGGGAATCTTGAGACAACTCAAAGTGTTAACTTTACACCTTATCTATTTCAGGTGATATTCTCGCCCTCTACAACACACCACTCAAGCCAGGACATGCAGCTGCATTTTCAGAAGACTGTGATTCAACTTCTACTAAAGTTGTCATCCGTGGAGCCGGGAACCAGGTAAATTACTTATTAGACCCCTTCCATGAATTCTTTTTTTGCTGCATTTTATATTCCCCAAGTATTTTGTCCCAACAGTCAAGTTTGCCTTCCTATAGACTGGTTCATAGATTTCACACCTAATTCTCCTTGAACATTGGGCTTAATATGTTTACTCTAGGTTCCTATTCTGTCTAACTTGAAATCCCAAATGTCAGTTTTATTTCATTTATGTACAACCCTTCACTAACAATGTGAGAAGTCATATAGTTTAATAAGCAGATTTTTTCTTTACTGGCTATCAAATTATATCTATTCTATTCAAAGCCATAAATATACGATTTATCCCTTTATGTTTTTAGTACAATTACATTGGATATCTTGACTATAAAAAGGAAAGAATTCGTAAGCTTTCCATGAAAGCCAGCACCTGCTCATTTAATCCTGGAGTTTTTGTTGCAAACTTGACAGAATGGAAAAGACAGAATATAACTAACCAGCTGGAAAAATGGATGAAACTCAATGTAGAGTATGTATATAACTGGCCTACCTGTGAAACTCTTGTATTTCAACCCTGGGGGTCTTGACTAACAGGAATTGGTCAGGATTCTTCACTAACAGCTTAAATTTGTTCTGTCCCACCAAGAGAGGGATTGTATAGCAGAACACTGGCTGGCAGCATCACAACACCTCCACTGCTGATTGTATTTTATCAACAGCACTCCACCATTGACCCAATGTGGAATGTCCGCCATCTTGGTAAGTAGAAATAATTAGCCAAAGGCCTAAGCTAATAATTAAATCTCTAAAGGACTATCCTCAAGGATAGGATATATCCAGTTTCCTTTAAGTTTTCTGCAGTTTGATGTGCCATTGTCTTGTGTGTGACTAATACTAGTACAACCACTTGGCTCTTTTTCTCTCAATGAAAGGTTCCAGTGCTGGAAAAAGATATTCACCCCAGTTTGTAAAGGCTGCCAAGTTACTTCATTGGAATGGGCATTTTAAGCCATGGGGAAGAACTGCTTCATACACTGATGTCTGGGAAAAATGGTATATTCCAGACCCAACAGGCAAATTCAGCCTAATCCGAAGACATACGGAGATCTCAAATATAAAGTAAAATATAATTTATGCAATAAGCATTTCTCAGGAAATCCTAGAAGACAGTATGTGTGGGAAGTAACAGTTGCTAGACTCCAGTGCCTATCTACAGCAACCCATGGAAAAAGGGGCATTTCAGCTGGGTAAAGAGGACAAACTGCTCCATCTGGCAGTCAGCTTCCCAGACAGACTATAAATACGTCTCCATCTGCCTTACCAAGCGTTTGCTTACTACCGTGCTGAATGACCAGAGGTGAATGGACTGATACGGCTGGTACAGCTAGTTCAACACTACTGCTTGGTTTTAATTTTGTAACCTGTGGCCTGATCTATAAATAAAGTGCTACTTACATTTTCAATAGCTATCTGATTTTTTGCTGCCAGGTAACTGTACTTCAACTCACTCATGGTCTAAGAGACGAGTTGTCTACAGAATTCAGACACTTTCTAAATCGCCTGATTTTTAAAAAATGAATATATACTGATACATATTCACAAAATTTATACAGCATATGCCATACTGTAACAAACTGGTACACCACACACCTATTAACAGCTTAGGAGTCTCCTCAAAACATTAAAAACAAAAACTCTTACAAAAGGACAAGGTTCTGTTATACATAGTCTGTACTGAAGTCATAAGCATCATCTTCCTCTTCAGTCATTTTATCTAAGACATGAGATTGTGCAGACTGTTCATCTATATTGGAGGAAAGAAAAGTGAGGTCAAAAAAGAAAAGCAATTCTACACCACGCTGCTGTGTTAGAAGACCCCAATAACCCAACTCACCTGCTTGAACCTCCTCAGGCAGTGCCTCCCAGGCCTCTTCTGCAGGGCACGTGTCTGAGCTCTTTTCCTGTGGGACAAAGAAACAGTGCTAGATAGTAGCCTTTGTCTGCTCATTAATCCAAGTAATTATGTACCTAAAAAGTCTGAAGGTACATATAATGGGATGCAAAAAATTAAGACTAATGATTGCAAGGCTTAAATACCCGAATTGCATGGGGCTTAAAAAAAGCCTATTATGAAGTATCTAATTTCTACTTTCAGCTGCTTCCCATTTATTGTACATTATAATACCAGAAAACTTACTTCAGCTTAAACAACTCACGGACAACATACTTACAACAGCTTCTTCATCAACGTTTTCCGGGTCGCTATCAATGTCTCCGCAGTCTTCCCCCTCCTCCTGCTTTCTCTTTTGCTGTTTTGGCAATTCTTCAGCTATGTCCTTTTCCTCTATTATTCCATTTGTCAGACCCGAAGACTGGAAAAGGATGCTACTGGCTAAACAAGGGCCCTTGATAGCTAGGGAAGGAACACAGCCCATGTAAACAGATGAGACCTTTGATTGGCCTATTTGCCAATGAAGACAACAGCCAAACACAAGCCTTCCTTACCTTGTATGCTGTGTGCATTGTTCTTTTCCAGTTCTTCCAGGTTAAAGCCCCAATTCATGTCTGTGACGCTGCGCTCATTAAAATGTGGAGAAGGAGTCCAGGATGCAGGGGGATGGCAATAATAACCTAAGGAGGCACTGGTATTAAAAACAAGACTTGTCAAAAATCAGTTCCTTTATTCTATGTGGTCATCAAATTGCCAACAGAAAGAAGCCTTACCCTGTCCACTCAGACCACAGCAGTTTGGCAGCACGTTCTACATCTGGGCTTCCACCTTTCTGGTGTAGTCCTCTTCTCTGAGCAAGTGAAGTAAAAAATTCCAGAGAATTCTTAAAGTCTGGGACAGTAAATTTCAGTACTACCTTAAAGAAAAACAGGAACTGTCAGTGCGGATGTAAAACAAACTTGAAAATTTTCTACTAAAAATGCTAATGATGAAAAAGAAAATGGACCTCAAGGGAAGAAGGTTCTTTTACCTGTCGACTATCAGCCTGGGACAGGATGACACTGGCAGCCTCCACTGGTTTTATTACTTCAATACTTGCTGGACTTCTCAGAGCAAGTGCGGTGGCAGAGTTAAGTGGAGACACAATGAAACTTGGACTATCTATGATTGTGATTTGTTTATCCAGGGGGACAACCTGCATACTCCTGGAACAAGAGAGATGGTGACTGATGGGGGCACTGGTTTACCTGAAGGACAAGAGAACACGAAGCTCAGGGTTGGATTGAACAAACTCAGCACAGTCCGTCAGATCCAGTTTATCATCATTTGCTTCATGTTTATCTAAGACCCTAACAGCACACCCTCCTAAAGAGAAACAACTACATGGTATAGCTTGTACATCGACCTAAACGTGCTGTTTCTCTGCCATAAATATTTCCCCTCTCCTATCTGGAAGAATTCATTTCAAGGTGAGGTTCAAGCATCACTTCCTCTGAGGCAGGCTTCCCCTCTCTGAACCTATTTGCTTATTTGTTTTGCAAAGTAGGTTGTGGGCAGCTAGCTATACCACTCCAGCAATGCTTCCCCAAGCCTAGCACTGGCTCAATCTTGTTCCTTTCATTGATTCCTCTAAAGAGATAATAGAAAATTCGTAAGCTATCCAAAACAAAATCATTTTTACTCATCTATAATGAAACATTACAATCATGGAACAACTTAATTTACCTTGTAAGCCCCATGGATACACCAACATTACATATCCGTTCTTGTTTTAAGCTATTAATGATGCTGCTTTTCCCCACGTTTGGGAAACCTACAAATGGGAAATCCAAGTACAAAAGGCATTATGTGCTGATAATTATAAAATTTCCAGTTTTATTTTATGCTTGCCTGATGTATAGAGCAAGATCAGAGTTGGATCTGAGTGTCTTCACTTCAACACTAAGACCAATCTTAGCATCTTCATTTCTTGCACAAATAATAAAAGAGCAGAGAAAGTTGATTACTTCAAATAAACCAAAAGCTTTCAGAAGCCAACTTCCTACAATGCCAGTTGTCAAACAATTGAATTAGGCAATAATTACTTAAAAATTTTTGTCTTTTACCCTGTGTGTTTGGTAAGGTGGGCAAGAAGCTAGTGTCTAAACAAACTATTTAGCAACAACCCCATACACTGTTAACATGTAAAAATTCTTAGCTCTTAAGACATAAAATGTGTTAAACTAAAACTCACCAACTACTCCAACCCGAATCGCTTTGCCACAAGTCTCCTGAAAAGCTCCAAGAAGTTTCCAAAGGCCTTCTTTCCCAACACAGACTTCTCTTTTGAATGAAGCAGCTTTCTTCCTTACCTTCACATGTTAAAATCCCACATAATTAGTTTATGTCTGACAACCCACCATATAAAATCCAAGCAATCTGGCTCCACAGCCCAGCTATTAAAATCATCACCTTCTATTGCCTTTCAGATTATCTCTGGATGAAATCAGAGTTGGATCTTATAAGTTTTCATTTTTTAATCAAGATTTTGTAGACTCATCATATTTCAGCCATCCAAAATCTGAAAGAACTGCACTTCCCACCATTAACAGTAAAAGGTACCTTGATGATCTTCCCTTTGTCCTTCAGATGTGTCGAGGCTTTGAACACCACTGTTGGCAATTCCTTCTTCAAATAATTCAGCCAGTTCTCCAAATTCTGCTTTGGTACCAAATCTGATAGAGATTAGAAGGATGACACATGCTCCAATTAGGTCATTTTGTTGAGATGAATTTGCAAAATCTGGTTAACTATGAATTTCACTCTGGTTTGCCTTTTCCTAGCTTTGTTCCAAAAGAGTTTAACTGGAAGATGGGGATAGAATAAGCTCCCTACCATACTGCCTTTATCTTAACAGAGTTCAATGACTCCATCTCTGTATTTCTTCACTTCTCTCGGCAGTGCTCACCCTTTCAGGATTATGTCAACCTCTAGATTATTACCCTACAAAACCTAGGGCTATGTTTCCAGAATTCACTTTCAGGTAGCAACCATGTAGGCAGACCCCAACAGTAACTTTAGATCCCATTCTTACTTCCAGCTTCACAAGTCTCTGTTCTGCGTTTTCTCGTTCCTGCTGCTCAAACTCAGACACGTAACTATACACTTCCTCTAAATACTGTGCAGGTATGGGGAATATGGCACACTGCCATCACTTCCTATGTGAAATATATTGCACAGTAAGCTGCATATAGCAACTTACACTCTTAAATAAGATGAGGTGGTAAGTATTAAATGGCAAAAGAATCATAGAAACCAGGCAAATCACTTGGAGAAACAACTCCATCCCACTGCCAGAGCTGTCTTTGGCAACAAGAGAGCATACGCACTGACTCTGCTGAGGTCAGAGTTGGATCTTATCAGTCTTCAGTGACAATCAGACTGTTTAGATGTTTTCCTCATACCTCACTAGTGCATATGGGACATAAAGGGCAGCCCTTTTCCTCACCTGACTTATTTAACACAAGTACCAGCTTTTTCTGTCCACCCTGGACAATGGCCTCTTCTACCTGGGGACACCTGCAACCAAGAGGATCTCTGGCATCCAATACCTCCAGCACAACATCTGAGGTTTCAATCACCTGTCAAGATAGAAACTATGAGAACAAGATAGCATCCCTTGCTCTGGGAACACCCTCTACAAAGTATACTGGCATTATCCAGTTTGCAACAGGGAGAGTTTAGAGTTGGATCTCATGTCTTCGCTTTGGTATGAATAATGTTCACATGTACATCATTTCTCACAGGAAAGTAAAACACAGGTTTGCTTGGCGGCCTCTGATCAAAGTGGCTTTCAAAAGTGGACACTGCTCCACTGTCTGAATATATATAATCCTCCCATAGTGAATTATGTAGTCTGATGGGCCCTTGTGTCCTGCCGACAGCTGCTGAGAAGCACAATCAGGCTGTATTAACAGAGGGAGAGTAAGCTTGGGAAAATAGGTGCTGAGGATGGGTGTGCCGGGGAGCAACTACACCAAGACACCCCCTTGACCTTCTTCACGTAAGTTTCAACAGAGTACTTTACAGATTCTTATTTTCACACTGCTTACTCTAATGTATTTTCCTCTATTTTAAAATCCACTGTCAACGTGTTACTTTAACACAAAGTAACACTTGTGTAAATCATGCTTACAGGGAACGGTTCCTGTGCAAAATTTTAAAACCACAAGAATATTTCCTTCAACTAAACCTAACAAAAAAGGCCCTCAGTGAGATAAGCCAACCTGCGGAAGGATTCCTCCAGCTCAAATGAACTCTACCTTCCACCAAGGCTGGCGTCAGGAAAAAGGAATGACTCTAGTGTTTTAAACCTCATTACCATTTTTGGACACTGACCTAGAATAAGATACCTTTTTAAGTTCCTGACAGTACAACTTCTTCGGATGCTGTTTGCCTGACTTGGCTTTGTTCTTAGTTTTGCATTGTCCATATTCCTAGAGGATAAAGACAAGGGAAAAAGGACACAAAATTGCAAGTTCAGCAATTATAACCTGTTTCTCCATTTTCCACGGCTGCAATCGGTATTTAAATAGGTAAAACAGAGTCTGAACTCAGTCTTTTTTCCCCCAAGTGGAATAGCAGCCCCTAGCTGAGTTATGTGCTTTTACTTCTACATCAGAACTCATCTCTCATTCACAAAGAGACCTAATCATACCTCCTTCACAGGTTCCAAGTTAGATGTTTTAACACCAGGGTCAGTTTCGAGTTTTCTTTTCTTCTCCTGCTCCTTCTGCCTGTCAAGCTTCTGCTGCTGTTTTAGTTCTTCAAGCTGTGTCCGAGCCATAAGAGAAATGGGCGAGCCAAAGTGACTTGGTGTTACTACTTTACTTTGACAAAATATACGTACCCATATGTCACTTGTTCGAAGTTTCAGCTAATGTATCTTACCCGCTGTTTCCTTAGCTCAGCTTCCCGAAGAAGAGCCTCCTTAAAGGGCGCACTGTTTGGAACTCCTGGGTCTTTCCGAGGCTTCTTGTGACCCCGTTTTTTAGCCTCCTTTCTCAATTTTCGATGGTGCTCTCGAATCTATTATAATAAAAGTTTTTATCAGTTTACAAAAATATTAAACAGAATTCATGTGAGAAACGAATCCATCTGTTTACTTATACCTGTAAAATGATCTAGAAAAATAGAACTTTGAGTGTAATCATAGAGACTACACATATTTATTTATAAACGGCAAGAAAATGTCACCAGATTTTCTCTGCAGAAGTTAAGGTGTTGATCAAAGTTTACAGACTTTCTTATCACCAAATTACTGCATTTTTCCACAGCTGTACTCCTGATGCCCTAAGAGTCTGTATCCATGGTCAGTCTATCCAACCTCCATTTCCTGAGGCAAAATCATATTAATTCAGACATCCTCATAGAGACGTGGGGCAGAAATCAGTTTAGTATTATATTTGCTATAGCTCTCCCAAGCACAAGACTTACCTTTTTTTGGATTTTATACCGCTTATGGCAGGTCATGCGTTTACTTGCCTTCTTTAACTCTACAAAGAAATACATCACAAAATAATTAGACAAATAATCCATGTTAGTTTTTGGTGACTGTGCTCTGGGGTCACGTCCATTTTTGTGTTAATTAACTAATTCTCAAACCAAATTTGAGAATCATATGGGGCTCATAAAAAAAAAAAATACGCATGCTACTCTCAAATCCCAGAGAATGTGACTAAATAGATCCGGAGTAGAGCCCAACTCCCCTGCTCCCACTCTTCTCCTACTAGACTGAGACTGTACCATCTGAGACCCATAACGACAGCCACTTCTTGTCAAACACCACGAATCACAAGGTAGGAGCGAACAGTGTTTGAGAAGCGGCTCTCAGACCTCACTGGGGCGGACTGAACGTGGCTGCAGAAAGGAAAACGCCTAGGTTTTGTAGTCTTAGTCCTAGCCGATCTAGTCACCTTTGGGGCCTCGCCTTCCTTGTGTACAATAGGCTCGTGGTTCACTTGGGGCCCTCCACCCTCGGTTCTACGCGGGACCAGGGCGATGGCCTACCCGTAGGCCCCCCAATCCCGCAGAAACCAAGACGCAGAAGAGCGCCCTGGTGGGTTCGTCAACCATCAGAAACAGATGCCCCTCCACGTCGGCCCCTCGACCCCACTCACTCGGCCGCTTCATACTGGAAACGTGAAAGCAGTCACCGTCAGCAGCAGCACCTACAACTAGCCTCTGCCGCCGCCACGTGTGAACTGAGGCCACGGCGCAGCGTCACGTACTCACGCTGACGCCGTAAAGCGCGCCGCCGGCGGCCCGCGTGCGCGCGCACGTAATGTCGCGCGGAGCCGGGTTTGCTTGGCGGCCGCGGGGCTGCTTTTGCGGCGGCACCGGGAGGGGTGAGGGTGGTGAGGGCGGCGGGTGCTGGAGCGACGGCAGCGGGCCGCGGCCGGAGGAGCAATAGCAGCAGCCGTGGCGGCCACGGGGCGGGGCGCGGCGGTCGGTGACCGCGGCAGGGGCTGCAGGCGGCGGAGCGGCTTGGTAAGGCCGGGCCCGGGCGGGCGGGGCCGCTCCCCCTCGGCCGGCTGCCGGGCCTTTGTGTGGGCCCGGGCGGGCGGGAGCAGCGGCGGAGGCCCCGCCCCGGCCGTGGGGACGCGCCGGTGGGGCCGGGCGCGCGGGGCGGGGCACGGCGGCGGGCGTCGGGACCGGCCCGGCTGCCTTGCCGCACCTGCCAGCCGGGACAAAGGCGCGCCGTGGCCCGGAAGCTCCCCGCGCCGGTCTTTCCCGCTCCCGGCGCCTGGCCGAGCGCTCGTCGCGGCAGCTTCAAAGCTGTCAACGTTTCCCTTAGTCCCCCATACCAGTGACAGGTCGGGAAAGTCTTTCATTTCCTCCGCAGGTCAGGGCCTTCTTTTGTTGTTGTTGTTTCCTGCCGGTTCGGACGCAAACTCCCCTAGTGATTTTTCTTTTTTTACGCTTTCCTGATGACTATGTTCAGACTGAGTATTTTTGTCAATGGGACTTGTGTTTATAGTAGAAGCCAGATATTTAAGTTTCTGGTCTGCAACACCACGAAGAATCGAGGATTTTAAACTGTACATTTCCTGGTTTTAAATATTTTTCCACCTCTTAAAATTTTTTCTGAAAGAGAAGCATAGTTTTGTTATTATAGAGTTAATATGGATGATTTAGAGGAAAGAGAGAGGCGAAAATGTAGAAGAAATCCTGAAAAACAAATGACAAGTACACAGTTTAGTGGATATAGAAATTACTATAATTATACAAACATATGTTGGAGGAAAGCATTTTTATTAACTAATTTTCCAACAAACTAGGGCCTCTCAAAAATGCTTTTTAGGTGTTTTTTTTTTTTTTTCCATTTAGTAATGCACAGTTTCCCAAATATAATTCAGAAGCAAATTGGATTCAGTAAAAGTATAAAAGGGTAGTATAAGCTTTGCTTTATTCTTTGTTAACAGGTTGCTCATATTTTAAGATCCAAAGGAAGATTGGAAAGTATCTTTTGAAGAAGTATTTCAAGTTAAAACAGTGACAGATATGTGTGTGGCTCAATAGAAAGGCCTTGACCACTTGCTTTGGCTTTGGGAGTGTACAAAATACCTCAGATATTACTATTCTATCCAAGTCCCCAAGATTAGTAAATTCTGGTGTATCTATATGATAGACTTCTATCAAGCCATCAAATACCATGTGGAAGAATGTTTACTTGGAAGAATCTTCCCAAAGTTAAAACACAGGCTACAGGATAATACATATCGTTTGTTAATGCTTTCGTTGAAAGAAAAAAAGGCAACTAAGGCGTAGAATAAATACTGAAAGCTGTGAAGGCCTGTGTTAAAAGTGGGTTTTCTCTGGGAAGTAGGATTCTAAGTAATTTTTTTCCCTCTGAATCTTCTGTTTTCCACAATTTTTGTTTTAAGCGTGTATTACAGTACTGTCACTAGAAATAGGGGAGAGTACTAATGTTTATAAACTATCAAAATATGCAATTTAGTTACACTGAGGATGTTTTTTCCCAGTTGCATATTATAAACTTATTCTTTACTGTCCACTGTAATTTATCATTGGTTGTCAGACTTTTGGACATGTGACTGTAATCAGTGCGATTTTAAAACTTGTAATTGAGCTCCAGAATCTATTTCTTTCCTCTTCATGGAAGAAGAATTGCTAAAGGGATGCTCACAGGCCTTTTAAACTACACAATTTTTTTTTAATGTCTCAAGTGCACTTTTAATATGTTTATTAAAAAGATAAGTTGATCACTCAGACTATACTGAGTACTATTCTATGAGTCAGGGCTACAAAAATGAATAAAATGCTGTTCCTGTGCCCAGGGAACATGCAGTCTTCGGAGTTGGAACTTAACATTTTGCTGTGCTTTGAAATTTCACAGTGATCTCAGGTACATTTCTCTATCACAACTGTCCAGGGAAGATATGTACACTTTACTGTTCTGGTTTTAGAAATGAAGAAACAGATCTGAGAGGTTGTGACTCAGGCAACATCAGATAATTAGGGGTGGAGAACCTGGCACTCCTATTCTGGTCTTCTGAGCTCAGGTGCTATTGTGCCTCCCACTCACTTGGCCACACACCCTCCTTGCCAAACTTCCAAAATACGTTTTAAAATGTGTCCTTTGAATAAGAGAATATTTGAAAATTATCAAGTTGCATCTTTTTCTTATCAAAGTAAATTAATGATTCAAGGAGTTTTGAATTAATTGATTGAGTGATTTTTTGGTGAGGAAGATTGGCCCTGAGCTAACGTCTGTTGCCGATCTTCCTGTTTTTGCTTGAGGAAGGTTGTTGCTGAGCTAACATCTGTGCCAGTCTTCCTCTATTTTGTATGTGAGACACCACCACAGCATGGCTTGATGAGCAGTGTGTAGGTCTGTGACTGGGATCCAAACCCACAAACCCCAGGCCACAAAAGCCCAGCATGCAAGTTTAACCACTATGCCACTGGGCTGGCCCTGGAGTTTTGGATGTTGTATGTTCTAAGCTGTATACACACACCAATGATTTATTTTTTTGTGATTTGATTTTCAGTGGATTATTTATTAAAGTAATTTGACCTCCTGCCAAAATGATGAAAGACTTTCTTTCTTTCTTTTTTTACCTTTCTAAACTTGTTTGTAGTGTCTTTCCAATACTAATAAGACTTTTGGAAATAAAAGTCTGTCTCTGAATTTTTTTGGGTGGAGTTTTCCAGACTTTGCTCACATGAGCCATTCTGGGTTTGTTCCAGCTTGCCAACACTTGGTGTCACGTGTGAGCCTTCCACATGTGTTCACTCCCCATTCCAGCTCTAATGATTGAACTCTGCTCTTATTGATTAGGGGGCAATGGGCAGGCATGCTTCATTCCTGGAATTGACATCATTCCATGTGAGTAAAGGGGAACCTCAGTGAGACAACTTTAAGCATATGAAAAGCATTTGGTTTTAAATCAAAGAAATGTCAAGTACTGTTAGTGCCTGAGCCTTTGTGGCAGTTTGACACAAGAGAACTGATAGGCGTGTTTTCTCCAGTTCTCTTATCTTTCTTTAGCAGTTCTACTTGAATGTTTTCTATCTATTCGTACTCATTTTTATTCCTTCTGACCCTTCTTTTTTTATTTCCCCTTTCTCTGCCTTGTTCTTCTCTTTCAGTTTTGAATATATTAACACAGAATCAGCACTTCTAAAGCCCTGCCTTCTCCCACTGGCTTCACTTGGCCTTCAGACATAATGAGGAGACTGGCTTTTCGAGGCGCTGGTTGTGCTCTGGTAAAGCTGGTAAATTACTGATCATCTACACCCTTTCTCTTTTCTGTCCTCCCTTGCCTTTTCCCTTGCATCTTTCTTAAATTTTGTTATCCTTTCCGTAAAGATTCCCTCCTCATGTTCATCAGATTCACTTGTGTCCTTGTCATGTTTACAAAGGATTGGTCTTGGAGTTTCTTCTTAATGAATTGAGGCCAGTTTATCAGCCTTTTATAAAACAAAAACCAACCAAACTTGACTGTCCTCGGCCTAAACCCTTTGAAGCTTTAAGCCAGTTGTAGCTAGTTGCAAACTAATACACTGTGTAACAAACCAAAGCCTGGAGGAAGGAACATCATCATGGTAGGCTCTGTTTTTAAATACTGGGTGGATTGTAGTTTACAGGAAGAGATAGGAGACTCCTTGTTTTTCAGTTGGTTACCAGGATTTTTTATTTGTTAGTTTGTTTTGCTCCTGCGTTCTGTTCCCTGGAGAACCCCGATTTTTCTCTCCATTCTAAGAATGGCAACCTATTCTTTCAGCTGCTGGTCTCTTAGTTTCCTGAAATTGAATGTTAAATGAAACTGGGATCAGTTTTTTCTTTTAGCTTTAGAGACAGACCTTTGAAATCACAATACGCTATTTGATCTTGATGTTAAATTGTGTAAGGTTGGATCTTCTCCAGTATAGACCCTTTCGCTCTAGCTGTAGCAGATCATTTCACTGGTTGCGTTTCTTCTGTTATAGTCAAATGTATATATTTGTAAAGTTATGTTAAGATTAGTTACTTAGCAGCCTGCCTAAAACGAAGAGCAACTATTTTTGTTTCTGAAAGGCCAAGCAGGACCTAAAAGCTCAACTCTAAGGTGCCCTTCCAAATCATCTACTGAAACTTAAAGCTATGATTTCAAAATTCACGGGGAATAGAGTACTCCATATAACTGAAAAGAGGTAAAGACGTTAGTCTGGATTAACAGAAAAGTTTCAAAGTGCAGTTTTTGCTTCTTTGTCATAGGTATGGCAAGTCACATCAAGTGTTTTCCAGGGGTGTGTCTTGTGTATCCTTCTTTAACGAATGGAGAAAATTTATTTTCAGTGTGTAAATTTTAGGGTGCATCTAAAATGCTAGAAGGTTAATTGTCTTCTGTCTCCCTATCCTTTTGTGCTACTCATTTGCTTCAGGCACTGCTTCCAATTTTTTTCCATATCGTGGCCCATCGGGAAAATGATCAGAATTGTAAGACACACTGGGGAAAGCAGGTGAGGCTACTGACTCCAGAGGCGACCTCTTTGGGGCCTCTGTCCCTGAAGCCTGCCTGGCTGCCTCAGGGGCTGAGGGATCAATACCTCCAGCACACTGGTATACCACTACACATGGGTGTTCAAACTCTAGTCCAGAGTAAATTTGAGGCCAGAAGTGGTTGAGTCATTCAAAATTGGTGCTATACAAATGAGTACACTTTTGCTGAATTTGTCCCATCCAAGTTGAAAGTGTAACATTCTGGTAAGTGAAGGGACTAGAGCAATAAGGTCGAGGATTTCCATTGAAA